AGTATTCCAAGGAGTTAGAGGATCCGAAGCATTGCCTCTTTTCCTGAAGTGATGCTACAGTCTCGGGTGGAGTGTGCCTTCTCCACGACTTCTTAGCCCGCTGCTGTTGGGGGAACGGTTCTAGCCCAGTCGTACCTTCAGGTACGATGGTCGGTCAGAGCGCGGTCCTCGGTGCGGGTTCTTTGCCTGGAGATGAGGGTTTCCTGGTAGGGATCTGCGAGTAGGAAGACACTACTCGAGTCCTCTCCGGATGGAAGATATCACGGTATGCTATCGGTCTGTCCAAAATACCTGGTCGTTCCGGTGGTTTCCTGGATCTAGGTGGTGGCTCCCCCTTATCGTTGTCCTTGTCGGACATGATGGTGAACCCTACCTAGTGAGTCAGTAATCTAACCTTACGGCCCTGTCTATTTCCAGCCGATCGGCAATAATGCGCGACGCGGATGGAGGATATAACTAAGTTGGCGTAGTCACTTCGGGTACTGCCTACCCCTTTTATACCAAAAGGGTTGGGGGAAGTGCGGAGGTGGCACTTTACAACGCGACTGGGCACAGGATGCACGGAGCGCATAAAGTGCCAAGAATCACCTAGGGGCCGGTGACCTCGACGCCTCACGGAATCACGGGACTCAACGATCGGCGGAGTTTGTCGAACCGGCGGTTATTTGCAGCCACTGCTAACTACGAATAACGCACACCTAGGAGATCCTTATTCCCTCACTCTTATAATCCGATGGGACGGTAAACCGACACGACCGTAGAGAGATCAGGCGCAGGGCCAACGGCTTTACGTGCTTTCCGAGGCACGGGGGTGAGACACCGCCAACTTCCTGACGCCGGGCAGCTACTGAGAATTTCTTGACGGAAAAACTCAATAATTGATTTTTTGGCCCGACCCGGGATTCGAACCCAGGACCTCATGATCAGCAGCCGCACTAATACAACACTAGACCAACGAGGCAGTCGAGTCGAGACTTCTTCAATACGCGTAGTATTACGATTAAAGTTGCGTCCCGCCGCATGCGTTTGGAGGTCTGTCTATTCAGTTGCCTGTATTCTGTCAAATCTGCTGACGATTGCAGCCTCATCTCCCGTCTAACAGCCATGAGATTAAGAGGGTGATCGGAGAGTTTTTGTGTTCTTCTGCGGCGGGTCTTGCAGAGCTTAACTCCGGCCGCATAGACAGTTTCCACGAACTTGTCAGTCATATCGTCCACTGCATTACAATTTTCTAGGCACTCAAAGCGTTTTTGTAACTCGAGCTGAATGGTTTCGGGATCCTGGATTAGAGCACGAGGGGGACGGAGCGTTGACTTCATTAGACGGGACCTCTCCAACTTAACGTTTAAGTTCAGTTTGCCTCTAACCATTCGGTGATCGCTGTCAGTTTTCACCCTTGCGATCACTGAGACATCACTGAACAGTTGTCGTCTAGTCGTCATAATAAAGTCAATCTCATTTTTTGTCGAACCGTCGGGGCTCGACCAGGTCCCTCTTTCTCCACGAAGTCAGCCAGCTGCTGGCCCCTTGGGTTCCGTTGCCCTATCCCAAATTTCCCTACCTTCAGCTCACCGTTCTTTCTTGTGCCTAGTTTTGCGTTGAAGTCTGCCTTTAACACCGTATAGTGGGTTTTGGAGAAATGCATGGCTCTAGATCCTCATACATTTCCTCCACCTCCTCATCGAGATGATCCGACGTTGGTGCCTAAACCTGTATGACCTTTAGCGAATGCCGTTCAGTGATAAGGTACGCAACCCTCGTCGATACACTCCCAATCTTTACAACGTCGTTAACGAGAGACTTGTGGACGATAAATCCAACACCTCCTTGTGACAGATGGTCGCCCTCCCGGTGATAGAACAAGCTGCCGGATTCGAGAGTCACCGTGTCCTCCCCCTCTCTTCGGACCTCGGATAATCCTATAATGTTCCATCGCAACTTGTTTATCTCTTCTTTCAGCTCCAGGATATTCTCGTCAGTCCTCAGGGTGCGTGCGTTGTATGTTGCCAGGTCAAGTCGTCGTAGGTGGCAACCGAACCTCCACCGGAGATTCATAGCACCCCCTGCCCCGCCGTTACCATGGTCACCACCGTAGCCAGTATAAATACATATTTGTTCCAGGCTTCCAGGCTTAGATATTTCACTGGTAGCTCATTTGTACATGTATACAACATGTTATAAAAACCATGTGGTTCCTGTTATGTGCGTTATCCGAATCAATATTCAAACAATATATTAATAACTTTAATGATTTATTAAATTTACGCGAACACTACACATTGAATAAAACTATATTTATGGATTTTATCTTGTTTAATAACTTATTTAAACATATTTTTAATTCCCGACGTTTCGGGCGCTTTACAGCATCCGTGGGTGCTGTAAAGCTTTACTTAAAAATTTTCTTTAACCGCTTGTCTGTTGCACGCTGGTATCCCGACGGATGTCAAGAGTCAAGACAGCCGATACTGTTGACCCGCCGGGAAACCAGCGCAGACCAGCTTTTGGCGCTATTTTTAACCGTTGAAATCATCGACCACTAATAAAGAACTTTTAACTTTTAATAAAGAACTTTTCACTTTTTATTAGTGATCGATGGTTGAAATATTTCTCTCTCCTTTTATCATATACTAAAATGCTAAGGAGTAAATGGGCTAGCAATAATCACACCTTTTTACAATAGAGCTCTGAAATATGAGACCCATTTTTATGACTCACAGAGCGATAGTACTTTGTACCTAAGTTTGAAAATATGTGTTGTGTAAAAATATTGTATGACACTTGTAAATTTTATGCTTTTAATTGGTTTATTATATTATAAGCTGTAAATAAAAATTTATGGTCAAGTACGGTGGGCCTCGCGTCTGGGACAGCTTCCATCTGCTGTGCAATTTGTGCTGGCGGACGGGAGATGTCCCGGATGATTGGCGATCCGCGGTCATTGTGCCTTTATATAAAGGTAAAGGTTCACATTTTGACTGCGGGTGCTATCGGGCGATCAGCTTGACCAGTTTAGCAAGTAAAGTTTACTCGAAGGTTTTGACACGTAGGATGCAAGAGAAATCGGAAAGATTCTTATGGGAGGCACAATGCGGATTTAGACCTGGAAGAGGATGCACGGATCAAATGTTTTCTCTCCGCATGATCACGGAGAAGCTTCTGAGTGTTAATCAGAAGATTTTCTGTGCTTTTGTGGATCTGGAGAAAGCATTTGATAAGGTTATAAGGAAGAAAATGTGGGAACTGTTGCCGGGATATGATGTGGATGGTCGATTGTTGAGGGCTGTGCAGTCACTTTACTATGACTGTAAAGCCTGTGTGCGGGTAGGGCATGACCTGTCACCCATGTTTAGCGTCCAAGCGGGCGTAAAACAGGGTTGTGTCATGTCTTCCCTGGCTGTTCATACTGTATCTCGTCAGCTGTTTACAGAAGCTGAAAAATTGCTGTTTGGGTGTGAAATTGGCTGACATAAAAGTTAATTGTCTGCTGTATGCTGATGATGCAGTGCTTATTGCACCATCAGAAGCAGAACTGCAGGCATTAGTCACGTGTATGAAAGAGAAATGTGAAATTAAAGGTCTCCGTTTGAATGCTAATAAAACTAAGGTTCTGGTATTTGAAAAGGACGAAGAGAGAACGAAATGTGAAATATGGGTAAATCAGGAATGTCTAGAACAGGTAAATGAAATTGTATACTTGGGGAGTGCTTTCAGCCGGGATGGAAGATGTGATTTAGATGTGGATAGCGTGTCGCTGCCGGAAACAAAGTCAATGGTGCCCTGAATGCATTAGTAAAAAAGGCAAGGCGTGGTGAAGAGTGCACGCCTTGCAATACATAATGCAGTGTTGGTACCGACTTTGTTATATGGCAGCGAAACCTGGGTATGCCAGAAGAAGCATAAAAGCAAGTTGAATGCAGTGGAGATGCGATCTCTTCGTAAAATGTGTGGCGTTACCTTAGCCGACCGAAAGCGAAACGAAGAGATTCGCAATATGGCAGGATTGAAAGATGACCTTATCACAAAAATTGATAGGGGCGTACTCCAATGGTTTGGGCACGTTGAACGAATGAGTGAAGACAGAATGGTGAAGAAAATATATAGAGCGAAAGTAAATATTAAAAGGTGTCGAGGTAGACCGAGACTAACTTTCGAAGACCATGTGAGCAAATTGCTCGAAGAGGGGAGGGTCAAGAGTACTCGGATACCTAGACGTGCATGTATGAAGAAGTTAATGAACCTGAAAGAAGCGAAAGAGGTATGTAAGGATCGTGACACTTGGCGATCTGTTCTCTCTGGCTACCCCGTTAGGGATTGTGCGTGAAGATAAGTAAGTAAGTAAAGTAAGTGTAAATAAAAATAAAAATAAAGACCAAATATCTTATTCGTTTTATTTCGGAAAGAAAAAATATAAACTTTTAGATGTTGCCATATTTAGATTGAAGACTGCAGCTGCAGTTTAGTCTTTTAATGAAGAAAATTTAAAGAAAACAATAGAATATATAATAGAGAGTAATATTTAACTCAGAATTATGAATAATTTCAATTAAAATAGAAGATATTTGAATCTAAAGAAAAAAAGGCCAAAACCAAGCCTGCGTCTGTTGAACGACCGGGAAACCATCAACAGTATCGGCCATATTGCGAAATTTTTATTTAACAGGAAGGGTTATAAACTCACCATAAATAATGTAACTTAAATAACTGTTTATTTTCAATTTCTATGTGGTTTTATTACCTTTGTATTGGCCGGATAGTAAATATCTTGACAAAGACCCCGCTTACCGATTCGGGTGTCACTTAGAACAACATAACAATAGTAACAAAATAAAGTAATATTTTTTATAGTCAAGTTTTTAGAAGTAAAGTTATTTTTACACCTTCGAATACTAGTTCTGATAACGCACTTAACGTGAACCACAGAGTTTGTGTTACATGTTGTACAGAAGAAAACGAATAAAAGGAAACTAACTGCTAGAATGTATTACCGATGCGTTTACCTTCATTTCCTCCTGCACCCTGGGTTCACGGTAGTTAAGATCAGGTTGTCCGATGACGAATTGGTGTAAGTAGAACTGTCCTCTTTCTTTATTGAACTCCCAAGCACTCTTTCGGAAATTACTAACCTGGTAAGTTACATAAAGTGCCTATTAAAATATTGTTTTCGAAGCATCACTGTTGCTATAAATATAGCAATAATTGTTAGACCTATTTATTAACACTTAAAAAATATATAAAAATCAATTTTTCTAATTGTTGATATTTTTTTAAATATTGAATTGTCGATATATATATATATATATAATACAGTTGCCCTGGGGTTGGAGAAAAGTTAGTTTAGATCGGAGATACCCCGGAAGACGCGCGACTTTTTTTGGCTTATATCTAGTGTGCACGTTACACAGTTAACATAAGACTGATTTTACTATGTACAATTTCATTACAAAAATTCGCTTCCATTCCGTTCCGCAGCAGTGTGAATTGAGCCTTACTGTGGGCAAGTTATCCGGGTTCCCTCAGCACAAATGAAATAGATAATTGTAATTTAAGTTTTTTTCATAGCATTAGGGTGACAAACGAGCGCACAGTCCACCTGGTGGTAAATGGATGGTGTTGCTCATAGACATCTACATTTAACCTTGATTAAGAATCAAAATGCAAATGCGTTATCACCACTGAGGACTAACAAGGAATGCCTCGTTTCCAGTAAAACGGGTCGCCGGATCTCTACACTCACCATACGAAACACAGCAGCATCCAGCTGCTATTTTATGCTGGTATTCTGTGAGAGCGTAGTCCTTCCCCGGTCAAGCCGACCCATTCGTGTTACAACCATAATATAGCTGCAGCGTGGCTCTACCATGTAACGTAAGAGTGATTAAGTGCCGAACCACGTGTTATAATCACATCACATCGCATGAGATTTTTTTCGAGATTTTTTTTCGATAACATGATGTGAAGTGCGCCAACACCTTAATGAGTAGGGCGGTGGACCGATTGCTCCATAACCCTCTCAGAAATGAGCACAAATAACAATAATGAGTAAGACGGCACACCGCCGCAATTTCTGCGGGGTCTTGCCATAGCAATTATTATTAACAATTACAACATTCAATTAATTAATTAATTAATTAATTACTGCGCTCCTTATAGCATCCTTCTAATTAATGCAGTTAATAATTGTTGAATATGTTATGGGTGGCTCAGGAGCGGTGGTAGCTCAGGGGCCAGGCGCCCACAGTAAATCACGCAAAAAACTATGGTTCGATCCGAGTCGGCACCAATGAGAATTTTTAGTTCTTTTGAGAGGACTATCAAATTTTTTTTTGTAGTCTATCAAATTTTATCTAATATCGGGGATGAACCTGAACATGATCACAGAATGCAGGCATCCCGTAGCGTCGATTCGGGGAATTTACTCGAAACGACCGTAATATAAAAATAAACTAACTAAACGCGAAAAAAAATTTAGAAATTAGTTTCATTAAGATTCTAAAAGATTAGCACCTACACATACTTACATTACATTACACGTTACAAATAAAAATATTTTGTAAGTTATTTACCCAGTTGCTCGGAGGTCTTAAGACGTCAGGTTTGTCTGGATCGGGGATGCCATCTGCCCACACATAATAGTCCTGGAATACTGGTTCTCTACGCACTGATCGGATGAACCAATTGCTCTCGTTGCTCGTATGATTTGGCACAAAATCAAGTATCACACGTATACCTAAAATTACAGAAAATAAGATTTTTATTCCAATAAAATAATCACAAGAAATCAACCAGACTAGGTGAAACAGCCCTGTCAAGTGTCAACATATAAACTAGATTGATATTTTCCTAATAACAATAAAATTCTAATCATCAATCAATGAAATTTATTTATTTGCAGAAATATGAAATCTAGGTACGAAGTTATTTCTTTTGTCACATAAACGCATATCGTCGACAGAAGCAAATAAAAATAAGTATACTGGATGACTAAATTTATTGTAAATTTTATCGCCGTGCGTAAAGTATGATTTGAACATGTTTTGAATTTCGATATTTTAATTAATTTATTTATTAAATTTAAATGTTTTGTTTTTATTTTTTGGAAAATATCAGTGCCATAGGCTTCTACTCCGTTCACATGTTGTACTCTATTTTTTCCAGACGGTAAAAAAGGTCATTCTGTATAAGACATATGTATTATTAAAAATGAAAAATTTTAGTTAAAAATACTGTCAATTAAGAATCTGTTACGTGCTGTTTTTATGAATCTAAGTATGCTTTATATACTTCATAAAAACAGGCAAAACAGGTTTAAGTTACAAAATATATGTTACGCCAGTTTTCCTTATAACTCGTATTTGTAAGTTGGGATTGCCTCTACAACTTTTTTACAAACTCTTTCGACGGAGGTATGGAGAATTCGAGAAAAAATTATGATCTATGAAACATTTTAAAATTCTAGTCTATGAATTAATCTAAAAGTAAGAGATTAATAGAATATCGTTTACAAATACCATTTACAAATGCAAAAAATTAAACGAAAACATCATAAATTAGTATACACATAATACGTAGCTTTAGAAACTGTGCGCGACAACAACAGATAGTCCAGTATTAGCTGCTATCTGTTTGTAAGAGCTTTATTTTTTGAGCGAAATAAGAAATTATTTTATTTTCATAAATACAAAGTTCTTTTTCTTTTATATCAGCACGGAACAGACTTAAGACTTGAGTCTTTTACTTTTTTGAATCGCACTACCAGATATCGCGGGATTTTCTATCCGCCGCCGGCAGCTACAATATGGTTCTTACGTCTGACGTAAACCATCTCGCTTGCGTCACACGTAAAATGTCCAGACCAGCAACGGCCAGCAGTGCCAAAGTTGCCAGACGTCTGGCCTGGAATGGTCAATCCACAGTCATCGTGAATATTAATGCTAATCCTTTTTAAAACAGGAAAGGCCTATGTTTAGCTGTTGTGTTGAATTTTAGAAGCTAATAAAAAAGAAGAAGATTACGACACATTAAATTAATACGAGATTTTACAACCAGTGCGTGTTGCCAGTAATTATATATGGATCTAAGACGCGATCCTTCATTGCTCGCTGTATGACGAAGCTTAGAGAACTGTATGAGCAAGCTATCGAGAGCGCTATGCTCGGGGTTTCTCTGTGTGATAGACTTAGAAATGAGGATACTCGTAGAAGAACTAAAATCACTGACGTAGCCCAACGGATTAGCAAGCTGAAGTGGCAATGGGTCAGCCATATAGTTAGAGGAACCAAAAACCGATAAGGAAGAAAGTTCTCGAGCGGCAGCCTCGTACTGGTAATCAAAGTGTTGGGCGGCCTCCCACTAGATGGAGCGATGACATTATTAGATATGCAGCAAATCAATGCGTGCAGGTTATTACCAGCACGGAATAACTTACAAAGCATACTACATGCTTTGTAGCAGTCCTCGGGGGGAGACATATTGTGTTCATCAGTGGACTTGTGATGGGCTGTAATCATGACGATGATGAATGAATAAGAAAAAGAAAGACACTGTGATTCCAACTTTACTCATAATCCACAAGCGATAAGGTAGGAGGTAAGCTAGGATATCTACAGTTACGAATTCAGACATGAGGGAACAATACTCGTAAAATAAACCATTAACCAAAACCCAATGGTTTGTGTTTTAACACAAATTATTAACTGATGAACTAATAACATTCTGTTCTTTGTAAACCTTTTTAGAATAAAAGATCCCGGAGTTTCTTGCTGGTCCTTCGTTGAGTAAGTTTTGTTTTTACGAAGCAATGGAGATTATGACGTTCATAACAGCAAGCCTCAATTGGATGAAACGTTTTGATTTTGCGTTTGAAAAAAAAAACGTGGACTTTCCTGTCCTGTTACACATTCTAAAACGCAGATTGATATAAATATTAACGATATAAAAACATGTTTTGTGAATTTTTCTTTCATTGTAAATGCAAGCAGAAAACGTAGTTTATATAGATAATTACTTTATTTACATGTTTACACTATAAACTTCATCATCACTTTCTGACGCAGTTTAACAGTTATTGCGCAAATATTTTTGGAAGTGTTTCTTTAAAAACAATCGATTAATTCTATTGACGAACTCTGAGTATCTGGAATTTTGTTTTGTGTTTATAATTAATAATATTGATAAAGTCGAATCTGTGTGTTTTTATCTTCGAACGGATTTTTAAATATCGTCCTTTTAATGGTATATTAAAAACGTTTCTTCGAATATGCTTAAATTTATTTAAAAAAAAATTAAAGTTACAGCCTTTATACGTCTCACTGCTGGGCACAGGCCTCCCCTCATTTCTGAGAGGGTTTTAGGGCAAGGAAGTGTCCGCCGCGCTGCTCCAATGCGTGTTGGCGAACTTCACATATCTTCGAATTTTTTTCCTTATTCCTCAGACATGCAGGTTTCCTCACGATGTTTTCCTTCACTGCCGAGCTTGTGGTAAATCAGCACTTAACATTGCAGTTAACAATTTCATTAGTGCCGGTGGGAATCGAACCCGGGTTACTCGTGTTCTGTTATATTTACAGCTAGCGTTAACCATCTTAGTTACCACGGCTCACCGCGGCTTTATTTAATATAATTTATTTAATGATAAAGTATGGTTACAGTATGAATATAAATGAGTCGGTAAGACCGGGGAAGAATCACGCTCTCACAGAATACCAGCGTAAAATACCAGATCAATGTTGCTTTGTTTCGTATGGTGAAGTAAACCGGAGACCCTATTTACCGGTATAGAGGCATTTTATCTTATTCGTCATTACTGACAACGTATTTATGAGTTTCATTCGTGAAATAAAAACTACATTATTACTGAGAACAAAAAATACTCGTGTAGCACTTGTTCCGGGTTATATATTTTAAATATACTCGTAATTTATTCTAAATAATTTATTTCAAATCATCGTGGAACCGGATTAATGCTAAATTTATGTGTTAGTGGAAGCGTAAATCAATAGGATGTGAGTGGCAATTTAAAGTGACAAAACTGTTAAACAAAACTGGATGAATATGATTGGGCCCACCCCATTACAATAACGTGTATATATATTTCGTAGCATTTATAAAGAAAGTACAATTAAGATAAATAGAAGGAAGGGAATTAGAAGTCCATTGATAGACAGATATTTGTATAAAATGTATTGCGAAGGGATTATTTATTTAGAGTTTGGAAAACGGTTTTAAAGAATATGAACAAGAGGTTAGTCTATACAAAATTTAGAAACAAAGTAAATAAATTAATAAATATGACAAAAATAAATATAGACTGGAACAAATTATAAAACGTAATGGAGATTTTAGGAAAATAAAGACAAATATAAACATATGGTTGGGTCGAAACAAAACTAGCTTGGATGATGTTATTTTAAAGCAATCAGGAAAAACACATAGCATAAAACAGATCTAAACCAAATTTTCTAAAACATTTATGGAGGAAATAAAGGCAATTAAACATGTATGTAACTTGTAGTTTTTAGACAGAAATAAATATGTAAAGCTGAGTGAAGTAAGCGATAGATACACTAGGGTGACTTCGTCAGATATAGAGAAGGTCATAAGTTACATTGTCCTGTGAGAAAGCACCCGGTTCAGATGGAGTACGGGCGCAAGACATTGAATATTTATGTAAGCAAATAAGTCCTGTTCTAGCTTCACTAATTAATATGTCCTTATTTAGTGGTATTGATCCTGACCAGTTAAAAAATGCAATTAACGTCCCATATACAAATCGGGAAGTCATTTAGAATATGTTAATTATAGGCCCATCGCATTATTATCAGTTATAGATAAAATAACTTAAAAAAATTATAGTAGGACAGATTAGCGCGTTCTTAGAACAACACAACATATTGTGTGACTCTCAGCACGGTTTTCGGAAAAAGCGCGATTTTCAGATTTTATTAATAAGTGCTTAGATTCTGGCAAACAAATTATAGCACTTTTCATTGATTTTAGAAAGGCGTTTGACACTTTAAACCACGATATCTTATCACAGGCAATGGACGAATGTGGAATACGCGGTCCCACAAATTAAATTGTGTTAATTGTATAATTGAAATAAATTAAATTGTAACTGTAAGAGATTGGATTATGTAGATAAATTTTAATGTTAAGGTCTAACAATAGATAAGAATTTTAACTGCAGAATACATGTAAATGAAATTTGCAATAGGCTAAGATTTGTGCTAAGTAAGTTATACCAATTTAAAAAAAAATGTATTGAACAAACAAACGTTAAGAATAAAAAAACAGTTCTCCAGACCGAATTTCGGCCACGGTGGCCTGCCTCAACGGAGGCTAGCCATCGGCGCAGGACAGGATTATAGTGGCCAAGTGTATGCGCAAGCACAGGTGCACTCTCTATTCCCTCACTCTCATAATCCGATGGGACGGTAAACCGACACGACCGGAGGAGGCACAGGGGTGAGACACCGCCAACTTCCTGACTCCGGGCAACTACTGAGAATTTTTTGACGGAAAAACTCAATAATAAATTTTTTGGCCTGACCCGGGATTCAAACCCAGGACCTCATGATCAGCAGTCGCACTACTACAACTACTAGACCAACGAGGCAGTCTTACGTTTTACGTTACGTTAACATTAAGAATATTATTATAGTATATTTTGCACTTGCCGACTCGCTGATGAGTTATCCATCCCGTATACAAGAAGTCCATAAGGACTCC